GTTAGGCTCGGAAAAATATTTTTAAAAATCCATGGCTATAGTTAGGCTCTGAAAAATGATTTTAAAAAATCCACCCCAATAGTTAGGCTCTGAAAAATATTTTTAAAAAATGTACGCAGTTGGTCCCTGATAACATGTTTTTATAAAATCCACGTCTATAGCCTACTTTTAATTGTTATCAACCATTGCCTAGTTTTAGGCATCCTCAATTCGAGTTGTGAAAAATAAATTAGAATCTGTGGAACTGCCATTGACAATTGTGGCTAATAAATCCGATTTTTTAAATTTTTTTCTGCTCAGCAATTTTAACTCCCCCAATTTTTCTCTATTTTTTTTTTTAATTCAACATTCCACTCAGAAATTTCAAAAGTGCCCCGGCAAGCCAATACTGGTGCAGAAATTAACTCCAACAGCTCAGAGGCAATAAATTCAACAACTAAATACAATTGTTGGGATTCACAATTCACAGCAGAGATGGCCAAACGGAGTAGAAGGATGTGGATTCCGGAGTGGGTTGGGCGGACCATTTACAGTGGATTGCAGCAAATTGCCGACACACACACACAAATGGGCCAAATGCAAAACTTCAATTTTAAGTAGTTCAAACTATCAGAGGGAAGAGAAGAGAAGGGGGAAATAGGAGAGAATAGGGAAGAGTTAGCACACATTTAACTCAGCAATTTTACAATGACATTAATTCCCCAGGGAGTCATAAAATCCGAATGCCTACTATTGGCTGAGAGGCTTACGGCAGGCGGTGGGATAAAACTTTGCCGGAATAACTCGAGGAAACCATTTAAATATTCAGGTCAATTGGATTGCCATAGGGGGGATATTTAAAAATTAACAAACAAAGCAATCAGAATGGGGAATCGATTTAATAATTTGTTGAATTGTTTGGCAGAGCAGGAATCGACATACGCACATATCCTGATGCAAGGAATTAGAAAAAATACGCCTTGTGATAGGCAATATAAAAATTATTTTAAAAATCTACGCCTTATGGTAAGCTATATAAAATATATTTTAAAAATCTACGCCTTATGGTAAGCTATATAAAATATATTTTAAAAATCTACGCCTTATGGTTGGCTATATAAAAATAATTATTTACAAGATCTTCGCCTTATGGTAGGCTATATAAAAATTATTTTAAAAATCTACGCCTTATGCAGGGCTATATAAAAATTATTTTAAACATCAACGCCTTGTGGCAGGCTATATAAAAATGATTTTAAAAATCTACGCCTTGTGGTAGGCAATATAAAAATGATTTTTAAAATCTACGCCTTGTGGTAGGCAATATAAAAATTATTTAAAAAATCTACGCCTTGTGGTAAGCCATTGGAAAAATTTTTTAAAAAATTTACGCCTTGTGGTAGGCACTTGAAAAAAAATTATTTAAAAAATCTACGCCTTGTGGTAGGCTAAATAAAAATTATTTTAAACATCTACGCCTTGTGATAGGCTATATAAAAATTATTTTAAAAATCTACGCCTTGTGGTAAACTATATAAAAATTATTTTAAAAATCTACGCCTTGTGATAGGCTATATAAAAATTATTTTAAAAATGTACGCTATATAAAAATTATTTTAAAAATGTGCGCCTTGTGCTGGGCTATATAAAAAATATTTTAAAAATCTACGCCTAGTGGTAGGTTATATAAAAATTATTTTAAAATTCTACGCCTTGTGGTAGGCTATATAAAAATTATTTTTAATATTTACGCCTTGTGATAGGCCATATAAAAATTATTTTAAAAATCTACGCCTTGTGGAAGGCTATATAAAAATTGTTTTAAAAATATACCCTTGTGACAGACTATATAAAAATTATGTTAAACATCTACGCCTTGTGGTAGGCTATATAAAAATTATTTTAAAATTCTACGCCCTTTGGTAGGCTATATAAACATTATTTTAAAAATCTACCCTTTATAGAACTCTATAAAAAATTGTTTACAGTATCTAGACTACAGTTCCAGAATTAAAATACTTTGTATGTTTTTTTTTTTTGCCCAAAAGTATGCACCACAAAAAAAAACATTCCATCTGATTACAGACTTCACACATATGTAATTGATCAACAACTTCTTCCAACTGCAATTTGTACTTCCTACCTAATTTGTCGTTGGCAAGATACTTGGCAAAAAATACTGAAGCCACGAACGAACATGCTTTTATTGAATAATTTATATTCCTTTTTAAGGAATATATTAATGGTCATTTGATTTCCTTGTGGAATTATCAAGCCGTCATGTAGTTGGGTTTTCTCTTTTTTGTTGAAAGGAATCTTCCAAGTGCGGAAAGTTTTACGTGCCGGAAAGGGTAGGTAAGGAGAGGCAATGGTGTTTCTTTGGTTTTCAATGTCCATTGCAATTTGGTTTTTGTACTTCATTGCATTTCTGACTGACTGAGTGGCTGGCTGGTTGGTTGGTCCGCCTGATAGAAGAAGTGTTGAAAAGTGTTTGTCCCGCAATGTTCGGATGGCTGGCAAATTGTTTCTTTACCGCAAAACTTTGTTAGGCGAAGGGAGGGAGGCAGGGGCATATTGAAAATTACTGGAATGTGTGTAACGTACACACACATGTTTACAGACATATGTGTGTGTGCATTGTAATGGAATAAATTTTGTAGCCAGAATATGTAGTTAGTTTTACTTCGTTTTTTCTTCCTCCTCTCAATTTTTTTCGTTTCGGTTTGTAATGAAATGCAGTCAATATTGCTCAAGTTTCATGTTCAATTCGCTTGCCATTCGTCGTAGTCTTCTTCTACTTGTTTTTCTGCCAGACATGTTGCCACTCAAAAAACCACATGTGTGAAAATTTTGTCTATTTATCCCGGAGGCATTTAAGGGGGGAGTGCAAGGGAGAGGGTGGTATAGGAAGAGTATCAATGCTGTTACTACCAACTGTAGTTTTAACTTCATCCTATCCGGTATCCTTTTTTCCCACATAACCATTTACTTTTGCATCTGCCATTGCTGTGGAACCGAATTGAATGGTGGATTTGAGTTTCAGAGGAAGAACAAAAAAATACTGGACAGCCATCCAAATGCGTATAAGAATTTTCAACTAATCGAATTGACAGCGTAAAAAAATATTCTATGCATTTTTGGTGGGTGTCTCAGTCGTTCGATTTTTTGCTATTATTTTTTTTTTCTGTGGTTATTGACTTTTATGGGCTATCAAGTAATAGCTTACTTCTCACTTCCATTTTCGCTTCAATGGAGACTTCCATAATAAAATTTAAAATTGAAAAAAATAAAGAAAAATCTTCTGCAGACTTCCATAGGGCGCAGATCTTTAAAGTATTTTTATATAGCCCAACAAAAGGTGCAGATTTTTAAAATAATTTTTATACAGTCTACCACAAGGCGTAGATTTTTAAAATAATTTTTATATAGTCTACCACAAGGCGTAGATTTTTAAAATAATTATTATATGGCCTACCACAAGGCGTAGATTTTTAAAACAATTTTTATATAGCCTACCACAAAGCGTAGATTTTTAAAACAATTTTTATATAGCCTACCACAAGGCATAGATTTGTAAAAAAAATTATATAGCCTACCACAAGGCGTAGATTTGTAAAAAAAAAATTATATAGCCTACCACAAAGCATGGATTTTTAAAATCATTTTTATATAGCTGTACATAAGGCGTAGATTTTTAAAATAATTTTTATATAGCCTACCACAAGGCGTAAAAAAAAATTATATAGCCTACCACAAAGCATGGATTTTTAAAATCATTTTTATATAGCTGTACATAAGGCGTAGATTTTTAAAATAATTTTTATATAGCCTACCACAAGGCGTAGATGTTTAAAATAATTTTTATATAGCCTACCACAAGGCGTAGATATTTAAAATAATTTTTATATAGCCTACCACAAGGCGTAGATTTTTAAAATAATTTTTCTATAGCCTACCACAAGGCGTAGATTTTTAAAATAATTTTTATATAGCCTAATATAGGACGTAGATTCTTAAACTAATTTTTATATAGCGTAATATAGGGCGTAGATTCTTAAACTAATTTTTATATAACCCAACATAAGGCGTAGATTCTTAAAATAAATTTTATAGCCTTCCCTAAGGCTTTAAAAAATATTTAAAAAATCCACGCCTTCTGATGGGCTCGGGACTCTAAAAAATATTTAAAAAATCTACGCCTTCTGATGGGCTCGGGACTCTAAAAAATATTTAAAAAATCTACGCCTTCTGATGGCCTCGGGACTCTAAAAAATATTTAAAAAATCTACGCCTTCTGATGGTCTCTGGACTCTAAAAAATATTTAAAAAATCTACGCCTTCTGATGGTCTCGGGACTCTAAAAATATTTAAAAAAATCTACGCCTTCTGATGGCCTCGGGACTCTAAAAATATTTAAAAAATCTACGCCTTCTGATGGCCTCGGGTCTCTAAAAAATATTTGAAAAACAAAAATATCTGATGGCCTCTGGACTCTAAAAAATATTTAAAAAATCTACGCCTTCTGATGTCCTCGGGTCTCCAAAAATTATTTAAAAATCTACGACTTCTGATGGCCTCGGGACTCTACAAATATTTAAAAAAATCTGCGCCTTCTGATGGCCTCGGGACTCTAAAAATATTTAAAAAATCTACGCCTTCTGATGGCCTCGGGTCTCTAAAAAATATTTGAAAAACAAAAATATCTGATGGCCTCTGGACTCTAAAAAATATTTAAAAAATCCACGCCTTCTGATGGCCTTGGGACTCTAAAAAATATTTAAAAAATCCACGCCTTCTGATGGCCTCGGGACTCTAAAAAATATTTGAAAAACAAAAATATCTGATGGCCTCGGGTCTCTAAAAAATATTTGAAAAACAAAAATATCTGATGGCCTCTGGACTCTAAAAAATATTTAAAAAATTTACGCCTTCTGCTGGCGTCTAAAAAATTAAAAAAATTTGTAAATTTAGTAAAAAAATTGTCTCCTAAGTAAGACCTAAGTATAATTCTCCGGACTCACCTGTACATCAAAATTAGGGGGCTGTTGCTGCAATAAATTTCCTGGTGATTCCATTTGATTTGGACCCTGTTGACTTTGGTGATTCATCATGGGACTCTGCAACCAAAAAAAAACCGCAAATTATTCCACATATTCCGATTAAAAACGTGTTAAAACTTACCTGAGCCATTTGCATACCACCCACACCGTTCATAACCGGTGGCTGTAGCTGATTCATTTGCGGCATTTGATGATGTGGAAATGAGGAGTTCATCTGTTGACCCTGACCGCCGGGACCACCGGCACCCGTATTGGCTGACGAATTACCGGGATGATCCATGCCGGCGGCGCCCAACATATGATTGAATGCATGTGGTGGAAATGCCGGGTGTTGTGAGGGATCGAGTAGTGTTGGTGGACGTGGTAGGGTCTCTTCGGCTGGTGATGGTTGGCGGGAGCCGGGTGTACGACTGTAAAGAGTAAACAAAAATAAAATTTTAAATTTAACAGTTATTAAATTGTGTTTCGGGAAAATGTTAAGGGTTATTACAGAATGTCTAAGTTCGCGAGGGAAATGTTAAAAGTACTGTACAATCGATTATATGACTATGGTTGGTGTCTCTAATACATGGAAATATTTTCTTGTAGCTGAGACAATCACCAAAGTGCTATGATGATAAGAGGGAATATTTGGCTTCAGTATGAACAATGAAAAGGGGTATTTTAAACATTAGCAAAGATCCAAATCATGTTTGAACTCTGATTAAAAAAATGTGGACAATGTTAATGTTGTGACAAGTTTTAGGACAAATGTTAAAATATGGTAACATTATTGGTTGTATTGCATGTATTTACAAAGATTCTTTAAAAAACCTACGCCATACGTAGGGCTCTAAAAAATTCTTTAAAAAAATCTAGAGCCCTACGAATGGCGTAATTATTTAAAAAATCTACACCTTTTGTGGGACTCGAAACCATTTATTTAACAAATCTACGCCTTTTGTAGGACTCTAAAAAAATTTTAAAAAATCGACGCTATATGCAAGACTCTAAAAATTATGTAGGGTCTTAAAAAAATTCTTTAAAAAATCTACGCCTTATGGTTGGCCTTAAAAAAATTCTTTAAAAAATCTACGCCTTATGGTTGGCCTTAAAAAAATTCTTTAAAAAATCTACGCCTTATGGTTGGCCTTAAAAAAATTCTTTAAAAAATCTACGCCTTATGGTTGGCCTTAAAAAAATTCTTTAAAAAATCTACGCCTTATGGTTGGCCTTAAAAAAATTCTTTAAAAAATCTACGCCTTATGGTTGGCCTTAAAAAAATTCTTTAAAAAATCTACGCCTTATGGTTGGCCTTAAAAAAATTCTTTAAAAAATCTACGCCTTATGGTTGGCCTTAAAAAAATTCTTTAAAAAATCTACGCCTTATGGTTGGCCTTAAAAAAATTCTTTAAAAAATCTACGCCTTATGGTTGGCCTTAAAAAAATTCTTTAAAAAATCTACGCCTTATGGTTGGCCTTAAAAAAATTCTTTAAAAAATCTACGCCTTATGGTTGGCCTTAAAAAAATTCTTTAAAAAATCTACGCCTTATGGTTGGCCTTAAAAAATCTACGCCTTATGTTTGGCCTTAAAAAAATTCTTTAAAAAATCTACGCCTTATGTAGAGGCTTGAAAAAATTCTTTAAAAAATCTACGCCTTATGTAGAGGCTTGAAAAAATTCTTTAAAGAATCTACGCCTTATGTAGAGGCTTGAAAAAATTCTTTAAAAAATCTACGCCTTATGTAGAGGCTTGAAAAAATTCTTTAAAAAATCTACGCCTTATGTAGAGGCTCTAAAAAAATCTTTTAAAAAATCTACGCCTTTTGTAGAGCCTTGAAAAAATTATTTAAAAAATCTACGCCTTATGGTTGGCCTTAAAAAAATTCTTTAAAAAATCTACGCCTTATGTAGAGGCTTGAAAAAATTCTTTAAAAAATCTACGCCTTATTTAGAGGCTTGAAAAAATTCTTTAAAAAATCTACGCCTTATGTAGAGGCTTGAAAAAATTCTTTAAAAAATCTACGCCTTTTGTAGAGCCTTGAAAAAATTATTTAAAAAATCTACGCCTTATGGTTGGCCTTAAAAAAATTCTTTAAAAAATCTACGCCTTATGTAGAGGCTTGAAAAAATTCTTTAAAAAATCTACGCCTTATGGTTGGCCTTAAAAAAATTCTTTAAAAAATTTACGCCTTATGTAGAGGCTTGAAAAAATTCTTTAAAAAATCTACGCCTTATGTAGAGGCTTAAAAAAATTCTTTAAAAAATCTACGCCTTATGTAGAGGAACTAAAAAATTATTTAAAAAACTACGCCTTATGTAGGGATCCAAATTTTAATAAATTTACGCCTTACGGCTCTTATTTATGTCCCTAAAAAAATTCTTTAAAAAATCTACGCCTAATGTAGGGCTCAAAAAAAGTTATTTTAAAAATCTACGTCTTATGCGGGGCTCTAAAAAAATCTTTTAAAAAATCTACGGCTTATGTAGAGCCTTGAAAAAATTCTTTACAAAATCTACCCTTTAAGTAGGGCTCTAAAAAGTTCTTTAAAAAAAACTACGCATAAAAAAATTATTTAAAAAAAATTACACCTTTTGGTTGACTCTGCAATAAACAATATCAGTAATCATTTGATCGCTCGTGTGCCTTCTTGTTATTGTTTTTTTCTGTTACATCGATTAACTTAACAAGTTTGGCGCTTAAGTCTTTTGTTTTAACTTTCTGCCTGGCTGGTTGGCTTGCTCGCCGTTGTTTTTTTTTTTTACTTTGTGGGCTAACTAGCTGTTGGGCTATGATAGTTTTTTATTTATTTTTTAACTACAACTTGTTAGAGCTGCAACTAGCTGTGGGTATCGTTGATTTATACACCCATTATAGTCTCCAGCCGTTGTTGTCGTCTCTCCGACTGGTGGCTGCATTGAATTATTGTTTGCAAATTGACAGACACACAGATGGTTGTTGTTGCTGCTGCTGTTCGAACCCCATTGCAAATTCAGTCAATAGATTTATGGCAATTTAATTGATTGTTGTTGTTAGATTTGTTTTATTGTTTGTTTAAATGGTGTGATTATTGAGATGTTGTTGTGATTGTTTTGTTATTGTTGTTGTTGCTATTGATTTGCAGTTTTGTTATTTGATTGTTATTTGTCAAGATTTGATATCAATTAACAGTTGATTAGCTTGTTACTATTGTCAAACGATATGATGATCTTGTTGGCAGATGTAGGTCAGTGAGGTTTCTTTTGGTTCTAGAAAAAAATATTTTCAAAGCAGATCGAGGCTTCTGTTCGAAATTTGAAAAAAACGAACAGCTTTTATTTTTTAGGGGTAATTTTGTACAGATTTTATATAGCCGTACCATAAAGCGTAGACTTTTTAAAGAATTCTTCTAGAGGCATACGTAAGGCGTAGATTTTTTAAACATTTTTTTTATAGTCAATCACAAGGCGTAAATTTGTAAGGAATTTTTTTAAGGCCAACCATAGGGTGTAGATTTTTAAAATAATTGTTTTAATGCCATCCATAACTTTAGAGTCTTACATAAGGCGTAAATTTTTAAACGATTTTTTAGAGCCCTACATGAGGTGTAGTTTTATAAGAGGCCTACATAATGCGCAGATTTTTTAGAGTCCTCCATAAGGCGTGGATTTTTTAGAGCCCTGCATAAGGCGCATATTTTCAAGAGCCCCATATAAGTCGTAGACTTTTAGAGTCTTACATAAGGCATAGATTTTTAAACGAATTCTTTTAGAGCCCTACATAAGGCGTTGATTTTTAGACCCCTACGTAAGACGCAGATTTTTTTAGAGCCCTACATAAGGCGTAGATTTTTAAAAAAAATTTTTAGCGCCCTACACAAGGCGTAGATTTTTAAAAGTTTTTTTTTCATAGACAACCCCAAGGCGTAGATTTTTAAAAGAATTTTTTAGCGCCCTACACAAGGCGTAGAAAGGGCGCTAAAAAAGACAACCATAAGGCGTAGAGAATTTTTTTAAAGACAGCCGTAAGGCGTAAATGTTTTACAAAACTCCTTGGGATATTTGAATTTTTTTATTTGTACCTATATTTTGAAAAAAATAAATTTGGGTTCTTCGAAAAATATTTGTTTTATAAAGACTACGCCTTTTGTCTTAAAGAAATACAAAATTGACTTCTCGGGATTGTTGAAATAATATTTTTTTTAACAAGATGCTCGGAATCTTTGAAAAAAGTGTTGGGCTGTTTAGACCATATTATGCTTCGGCATTCCCACACTTCAAAGGTATTTAAAAGAAAAGCACCCTCGATTAGATCTTTATATGTATTCATTTTTAAATGTTAGTCCTCAAAATTTTTTTAAATCACGTTTGGACCCTCCTTTTTGTTTAATAAACACAAATGTTTACTTTGCTGTTAGTCCTTTCAAAAATAAAAAAATCCACGACTAGACCTCCGATGTTCCTTAGAAAAATATTCTTTAAAAAATCTAATTTTGTAGAGAGTTTTTTTTTAACATATTCATTAAAAATTAAAACGTCTTCCAATCCTAACAGAATTTCAAGCATAGACCTCCGATGAGCTTTTGAAATATTTCTCAAAGGATTAACTGAGTCCCAGGCGTGGATTTTTTGAAGAATGTATTTTTCAAAGGCTCATCAGAGGTCTATGCGTGAATTTCTGTTAGGATATATTTTTTAACCAGCAGATGACGAGGGCTGGACTTCAGAAAAATATTCTTTCAAAATCTACGTTGGTCTCTTGAAAAAAAACCTTAAAAATCCATGGCTGAATGTCTGTGGGTCCTTTGAAAAAAATCTTAAGAATACACGCCTGAAGATCTGTATGTTCTTTTGAAAAATGTTCTTTAAAAAATCCACGTCTGAAGATCTGTATGTTCTTTTGAAAAATATTCTTTAAAAAATCCACTCCTAGAGGACTAATGGTCCTTTGAAAAATATTCTTTAAAAATCCACGCGTGAAGATTCTGTTGGCCTTTGAAAAAATATTCTATGAAAAAATCGACAACTGGAGGACTTTCGGTCCTTTGAAAAAATGCTCGCTTAGACTTCTAATGGTTCATTGACATCTTTTGGTGCTTTAAAAAACATTCTTAAAAAATCCACGCCTCAGTCAATCGTTGGTGCGCCTCGTTGTTCCTTTGGCCATGACAGTAGAACTATGTATCCATTGAAAACTATTCTTTAAAAAATCAAGGCATAGATCTCCGAAGGGTTTTTTGAAAAATTCTTTAAAATATCCACACCTGAAGGTCTGTTGCTCCTTTGAAAATATTCTTTAATCTACGCATAAACATCCGATGATCCTGCAAAAATATTATTTAAAATTCATTCCACCTGGTCTATTTTTGCTTCAGAAAAATATTATTTAACAAAATTTTGTTGTTGTCACTTTAAAAAGACAAGCAATCATAAACTATAAATTCTGATTCG